CAAAAACAAATAAAGCTCTCTTCTTATTTGCTTAAATTTTGAGTTTCTAGAATTTGTATTCCTTACTTTTTTGTATATAGATATAGGAAAGGAAATGGTAAGGCGTATTGAGTTTTTTCCCCTCTTTGTAGGAGAATAGGAGGCGGGAGTTACATGATGCAATGATTTGTTGGAAAAGAATTGAACAACTCTAACATATTTTTGCCTATTGCCGAAGAAAAGTCCAGCCTATCATTTCTCCCTCTTTCCTTTTGATCCGCAGCGGGCAATTGATCTTTCTTCCTCAGAGATATCTGACTGCTAGCGGTTGACTGGCCGAGTTATAGTTTTCTTCCCATTCTTTTCTTAATTTCTTCCAAATTACGGCGACTGGATAGTAAATTTCCCTTTTTGATTCAATGGTTGTATTTCTTCTTCGTTATTCTGGTAGTTGTTTTATGAATCTCTGTTATCCTATATACTTTGATGTAAACATGTAACATATAATTTAAAGGGTTTGTTGCTTGGACTTGGAGCATCTCTCCTTTGGTTGAATAATTGATCATTTTCCTTGAAGTCCTATTGCAACTCGATTCCTTGGATGTTAAAATGGAAAGCAGAGTTGTGAGGGTTGTTCATTATGTTTATTATGTTCATGAGTGACATGCTACTAGCTAGCTATATGACGATGATCTGATCAAGTAAATAATATGTAGCAGGGGGTTATAAGTAGGAGGGAACATATTTGGAGTTTTATAAAGGGCGCGAAGAAGAAATAAAATGATAGTACATGTCAATATTTTCCCCAATTTCTAGATGTTTGTAATGACATTGGTTTGTTTTCTTAGCGTGAATTTTGCCTAATTAAATCCCTAACTAAAGCTTGATTTTGGCCTGATTGTTTTCATAACAACTACTATTTGGATTGATGCATCAATCCGATTCACAATGGGGACTCTGCAAGATGTAATGACTTGAGTTTTATTGAAGTATACAACTTTTACTATTCATCTATGTTGTTATTAGGTAAAAAAACATGACCCTTTTGGCAGTAATCTATCTCATTCTTCCAAAATTACACAAGTAACTGCACCTGCACGATATTTGTGGGATCTAGATCGCGATATTCTCTATTATCGTATACCAACGTACGAGAAGGGTGAGAAAATGAAAGCTCTTCACTTTTTTTTTTAGTAATTGAAATATATTTTTAAATTTTAACTTCTTCTTTTGTGTCCTTCAAAATTTTAACTTCTTTGTCACTTTGTGTGCTAATAAATTAATAATCACTTACTTTATATGTTAAATGATGGATTCGATACACAATTATAAATCAATAAAGAAAGTACTATAGAGCGCTCATTTAATAAAATAAAATTTTCATAAATAAATGAAAGATATAAAAGTGTGAAACAATATATGAAATTTGGTAAGTGAGATTAACAATTCAATGTATAATAGTTTAACATAATGAATTATAAATAAAATTATAATACTAGGATGAAAAATATAATAACCAATCAAAATTTGCCGCCCAACGGGCGGGTAAAAAGCTAGTGTATTCTATTTGCATACTCGAGAAGTTTTAGTTGGAGTCTTCGTGCAAGCAATTCTCTAGTGAGTGTTAGATGTCAATAAACCCGAATAATGAATAAGCTGGCTAACAACATCTGTGCAATGAAATTTTTAAAAAGTTAATTAATATTTTTGGTTTTATACACATCATATTGAAGTAAATTTGAACTGAGAGTAGTAATTCGAACCTGAAAGAAATTTTCTTTTATTGCACTTCTTATCAATCTCATCTTCTTAGATGAAATAAAGCTTAAAAGCTGGTATGACTGGAATATCATTGCATGACCAATTTGTTTAGAATATAGTCTATAATCTCCCTACTCATACTGGCCATAAATTCTTGATAGTGCAAACTCTCTAGCCATGAAACGGGGCCGAAAGTACTTGATTTTTCCTTTGGGAATTTGCACCATAATATCATGATCCTGAAGAAAAAAGTAGGAATATTAATAAATTTTTCAAATTTGAATCATACATTTGAATTTGTGTGGTTGTTGTTAGTTTACACTATGAGTCAATATATCGAGGCAATGACTAATATATGTCTTGGGATTGATTGACATCCACTTCCTCGAAACCTGACATTGCATTGCTTATTCACTATCCTCCAAGTAAAATAACAGTCAAACAATTTTTTTTTGTTTCACAACAGATATCAGATTAACTCACAAAATATGTAATAAGCTCAATCGTGATGCCTGAGCGTGTGATTAAAAACCATAGATTAGCTCTTTCTAAAATAAGAATATTAACATATATAATAATGAATATTATATTGGTAGCAAAATTTAGAAAATAAAGATTGAAGCTAAGATTGAAGAATTTTAACACTTAAATACAATTTGATCCTCCCACAATCATGAATACATGTGAACTGAAAAGATTAATTTTCTACTACCAATACATAATAACATATTAGTACGGAGGCAATGGCAATTGGGTAGTGAGTAAAAAAATAAACTAAATTTTGTAAAACATGAATGATGTCTGAATAAGGACTTGCGAGTGAAAGTGAAAGAGCAGTGACAATTGCAGTCCTCATGAAAAAAAGAATACATGAAATAATTCATAAGCTCATATAATCAACTGAGAAGGACGGGATGTGTTGAGAGGGAGCAGTTGGGTGTCTCTGATCCATGAATTATATTGTAGTCGGGTGAGAGTTAGTTGTTGTATCCCACCTTTATGCACTATTGTCAGTAGCAACATTTTAAAGTTACGATGGGTATAGCGAGAATGCAATTGCAAGGTAATACCATTTTTATTTTGTATTCCTATTCAATTAAAAAATTCCATTATTTATGTGCCGTATAAATTTTGGAATGAACTGATGAGTTAAGCTTTTTAAATATTTTCTTATTCACTTAATTTAGGCTTCAAAGAGTCTTTATCATTTTTCTTGATATAAGAACCAAATCAGATCAACATTGGGTCAGTAGAATCATAGTTAGTAAATACTCTGTTTAATACACACGTATATGTACCCGTATGTACTTTATCCGTTTAAAACTTCTATATCCGTATTATTATCAAGCCGTTTAATTTTTCTCCATTCATTTTATGGCTCTCATATTAAACATGTATAAAACCCGTATAACACGTTTAATATCCATATTTAATGAATTAAATTATTAACTTCACCATTATTTGTATATATATTTATTTTTAAAAAAATTTATTTTATATATTTATGACTATTAAATATTAACATACTATTAAACGTAACATTAGCATAGAGACAAAGTAAAATATTCGTACATATTTTATACGTAACTTTCCGTACCGTATTTTACTAACTATGAGTAGAATCACTAAACCAGTAATAATAGCGTTTAGTTCAGTGATAGGATGGTTAGAGATAGACCGAACGATTTTTAATGTTTTGACATGAAACCAGATGACTTGGTTTAACTGATCCACTGGTTCACTATTTAACTACAAAAAAATAAAAAAAGTACGTTAACGTAAACTAAAAACATCCATCATCAATCACTAATTTTATTCATACTTCATTTTTTTCATTTCTCATCCTACTTGTCGGATTTATCTAGTTCACTATGGAGTGTCACTTTATTATTGACTTGAATTTAACACACACAAAAAAAGATGATTTCTTTTGTGAGATAATTTGAATGTTTTGTTAGAATTTTTTTTTGGGCAATGTCTATTTTTTACCCAAACCTTTTTCAGATTCTTTTATTTTAACCAAACCTATTGAATTCCTAAAAATTATCCAAACGTTAACTCTCCGTCAAATTTTCTGTTAGTAATGCTGACTAAGTATGACCATAATGAGTTGACTTCCTACGTGGCGGTCAGAATACCATCATTTACTATTTTTAATAAAAAGATTATCAAAAAACAAAACAAAATCTCACCCCTCACGTGGACGAAATAAGTAACGGTAACAGAATGAATGCCCAGACTTTGATAAATTATAATACGTTTGGATAATAAATAGAATTTCTATAGGTTTGGTTAAAATAAAAGAATCTGAAAAAGGTTTGGGTAAAAAATAGACATTGCCCTTTTTTTTGTGATAGATGATATGGATTTGAAATTTTTTACGTGTAGTGATAAATTCACTCCTAAATTAACATATTATATATATGTTAATTTAGGAGTAAATTAACATATTATATATACACTGCTCTATCTGAAGATTCCTCTACCTGAAGCAAAACCTACAGGCGATATTTAGCGATATGAAATGGTTGAACTACAGTTTTATTATAAAATACCTTATCACTGACTTTTTCAGTACGACCTCCGGTACAGTATTACAATCCTTACTTCATAGTAATTAGTAAACAAAGTAATTTCACAGCTCACACAGTTGCAACATATACATCAATTGTGTATCATATATATACATAATAATTTCAAATTTTGATTAAATACGAAACATAAATTTTTATCAAGAATTTGAGCTAAGGTCTCTCTCATCCACCTAGGTCCACTAAAATAATTCCACCTTGAATAAGTTGAGGCCCATTACACTTGTTTCTGCCGTGTGCCTGAAAAGATTTAGAGGCTAGCCCATTTGGATTAAAGAAAAAGACTAATCGGTCCTTCCGTTCTCTGCGCAGGTGGCTGGAAAAAGTGAATTAAGTGAATTGTGGAGAGGAATCTCCATATATGTATTGTCAGATGTCAGTCGTCAGATAGTTCTTAGTGAGTGGGCTTCTTCTTGCCCTGCAACTAGTCACCCGTGCTTGGGCTTTTTGTACGTTGCACAACCAGCCCATTCAGATTTCAGATATGCATTCTTTAGTTCGGGAAATTATGTGACAACGGAAAAAGACGGGGAAGCCATGCTTTTCTTCACAAAATGAATTATCGTTGATTCTTTAAACTATACCATCACCACAATGTACAAAATTCTTAACCTTCAACGAATCAAATTAATTAATTTATCAATTTAACTGTATATATATATATCTCTATCAAAAGGCCTCCAGCCCATACAAGACGCCCGCATGCTTTTCGGGCCCATCCTTGAGGAAGAACACATCCCTCATCTTCTGGAACGCGTGCCACGTCAGCAAGCTATCCGATCCGGCCTGGTGACACTTCCCCACGGCCCGATCCACCTCCAGCGTCCGGGCCACCCGGTCCAGCCCACCATACAAGCTATCACAGAACCGCATCATATGCTTCACATCGTAAACCCTTCTCCCAAAAAACACCCGCAACAGGCCCAAGAACTGCTCCAACCCGCCGGGCAGCGACCTCCGGGTCAGGATCTTGACCAGGTACCCGAAATCGTACGCGCTGTGGAACGTCACCCAGCTCACCGACTCGTTGCAGACGAGCCCCGACGACATCATCAGCTCCGCGAACCGGCCCGAGTCAACCCCTTCCACCTTATTCCTCGCGAAATCGATCCCCTGCCGCCGCAGCAGCTCGATGGAGTCCGGCGCGTGGGAGTCACGCTCCACGTCGAAGTCCCTGAAGTTGAACTCCCAGATGAACCTCTGCCTGCCTCCGGTCCCCAGATCCGGCAAGTTACCTTCGGAATCGGAGAGGGTGAGGCCGACCTGGATGAGATTGAGCGCGTCGACGTTGGATTTCAGGAGCTCATAGTGGTCGGAGGGATTCCTCCGCTGCTGGTGTCGGTAGGAGGGGTTGAACGGCTTGGTCCGGTCGATGGAGGGTGGGGGAGGGCGGAAGACGACGCCGGGGAACTCGGTGTCCATGGAGATGAAAGGGAAGTCGTCGATTGCGTCGCGGATGAGGTCGAATTCGGCCTCCAGGTTGGACGCCCAGACTTCCCTGATTATGATCGGCGGCGGCGGCGGCTGTGGAGGAGGAGTGGGGAGCTTGGTCATTGCGGCGGAGTGGAAATGGATTGGAGGTTGAATTTGCAGAGAGAGGAGGAGAATTGTTAGGTGCGGTGATGGTGGAATTGGGGGGGATTAGGGATTTATATTGTGGAATTGGGAAAGTGGCCAAGTGGGGAAGGATTGAGGAGTGAGAGGTTGCTTGGAAAGAGGGGGAAGGGGGACGTGGGGGGAAAGCGGGGAAATGGTGGGTAAGTTTTTCTCTTTTTTTTTTTTATAATTTAATATTTAGGGGGTTGATTCAACGCACGGGGATTCTTTCGTGTTGAACGCGCTGGGGAATTTGACCGGGAAAGGGTCGCGGCGGCGGCGGCGGCGGCGGCAGGAGTGTCTAGTGGAGTAACGGATGGGGTAAGTAGGAGTGTAAAATTAGGGTTGTAGGGTAGTCGGCGGCGGCGGGTTAGAGGTTGATTTTGATTTATATAAGGAGGCGCCGAGCGATCAGATGGATGTCGGAGTACCGGAGGGAGAAGGAATGGTTTGTCTTGTACATTTTGTACAAGGAGTTCTAGTACTGGTAGAGTGAGGAGTAGTCATTCCATGCATGTGCCGTATTCTTTATTTTAGCATAGGCTAATTTTAAAGCTTAAAATGTGATGACAGTGTAAGGCTTGGTTGTTGACAAAGTCGGAACGACTAAACGTGTTGGATTTAGTTCGTTCATTTGAATAGATATGAGATTGCAAAGGAAGAAAATTTGATTCTTATTCTATTGTGTATTTACTTGATGTCTCATTTGAATAAAAAGTGTCGAAATCTCTCGTTTGTCCATTTCGATGTATCTGGGTTTGGACTTTTGTCAGTTTCTTTATTCCTATGTATGTACGTGCACACTGTTAAGAACCAGTTGATCCCAATAATTTGAGTAGTTGGGAGAGCTTTAATCGTGGATCATATACCTTTACAAACACCCCTCCCCCCCTCACCTCAAACTTAAGTCATTCATAGAAGTTTGGAGTTTGCATAGGCACAGGTCCGGACACCATGTGCTTAACAGAAACGGATGGGGGTTATCGAACAGAAGACCTCATGGTCACATAAGATTCTGATACCATGTAAATAACCAGTTGATCCCAATATCTCGAGTTGTTGGAAGAGGTTTAATCGTTCACCATATACCGTTTACTAACACACGCTCAATAGAATCCCAAATGTAAATGTCTAAGGAATCCCCCTAAACTCATATTTCATTCACTTTTGGCCCCTATAATATGTTTTTTTATAAGGGTGATATAGATTTCATTTTGTTGTCATTAAGGTACTACTTAAGAGATTCGAACCTGGGACCTCCAGGTTCTAGGCTAGTGGTATTACCACTAGACCAAACCCTTGTTCGTTGGCCCCTATAATATGTTATCAAACATTATAGTCTAAATAATTCGACGGTCTGGGAAGGGACATTATAATGAATTATTAGTTCCATTGTTAAAAATCTTGTATTTATCACCCTTCAGCAAAGTAAATTTTGTTACCGATTTTCTGGTCTCTTTGGGACATTCTCTTGCTGTTGGGTAACATGTGTTTTCGTCCCCTCGTTGCTGAATTACTGGTTGTATTTTGATTATTTAGAAGTTCCAATCTCACGAGTAATATAATTCATAAACATTAGAGCTTTTTTTAAACGTTCCGTATTTGGTAAAAAAATTATATATTTATTTTTCAAAAAAAAAAACTCTTACAATTACGTTTTCTTAAACTTTGTCTGACTAATAAATAATTATGTACTTCACTATAAGAAGAAAAACAAATTCAGTAGAAATGGTTATTATCCCTTCCATACGTTGTACCCTTACTTACTGCCCTCTATACTTACACGTGGAAATTGTCGTCTAAGCAGGCCAATTAGACGTATTAAAACAATATAAGAAAAGTCGTGCTTATAGAGTTCACTGGTCTTTGCTTTGTTGGTTATGCCAATTGCCAAGTGGTGGAATGTTCAGCGAAACAACGAATTATTGATTAATCAAATCCGCCGACGGATCATTAGCTCACTAAACTATAACTATTGCAGTTAATTAGTAATCACCTACAGACTACAGTTATCGTTACTTGCATCAGATGAGACTTAATTATGACCTTAATTATTCACTTAAATAATCAACGGCGACTTATATAATTGGCCGTTTGAATTGTTCAATGGGCAGATGCCATTGACAGGGTCTATCAGCAGTGACATATAATTACAGCTTGAGTAAGTCAATATTATAACGTACCCAGGATTGATCTATAAACTTCTTCAACAATATTGATCAAGATGCATAGTATAGGTTATGTTTTTTTTTCTTTTAATATATAGATTTCATGATTTTGGAGAGTGGATCGATGGTGATGGTGCAAGGAAGCTTTTGAACCAATAGGCAGAAGCTTTGAGGTAACGCTTCAAATTGTCGTTGAAGTCCACGTATGTCATCCCGAAACGGACCGTGTAACCAGCAGACCACTCGAAGTCGTCAAAGAAGCACCAGACGTAGTAACCCATTACGTTGGCTCCATCCCTGCAAATGCAAGCGATAATATGATCGGTAACCAGTTCGTCAATTATTTTAATTTGAACCCCATCTAGACGATAGTTATTGGAGATGATTATACTCACTTGATGGCATTCAACACAGACCGAAGGTGGGTTTCATGGTACTGTATTCTCGTAGTGTCATTCAGGGCCATTTCGAACGACAATGAACTTTGATCGCCCATTCCTAAACATGTATACCATTAGAAACAAAAACTAAAGATTAAAAGAGACTCAATTCAACCTTAATAAGTGTTTACGAAGCAAATTCGTGAATTCACCCACACAATTATTTTTCATAAATGTCAAACAATGCTATTTTAAACTGGTTTTGACGATTAATCTTTGGATCTTAATTACCATTCTCGGTGATATACACTGGTGGGTTTTTGTAGTTGTTCTTTATATGGTGAAGCAGCCTTTGCAATCCCTTTGGGTTAATGAACAGCCAATCTAGATCAGTCTGCAGACAACAACAACAACAAAACAAAAAACCCATATCTCATTTCATTATTTCCCTTCACAACTCAAGGCGACAAATTTATAGAGAGACTACATACCGGTGTGCCAATTGGGACTCCATCCTTCTCAGCTAATGGGAAATAACAAATGTAACACACACATAAATAACCAATAATAATAATAAAATGTGACATATATTTCTGCTTGATCATAGACGCGCGCACTTACTGGAAAGAAGGGCACGACTGTCATCGGAGTAGCTAGCCCTGGCGGCGGCCGGAGCTTCCTCGGCGTAATTCGCCGTGTAGTAATTCAGGCCGAGAAAGTCGATCGAGCCTCTCAAAATGTCCGACTGCTCCTCGGTGAATCTCGGGAGGCGATCCCCTACAAGCGACCTCATGCTCTTGGGGTACACCCCGTAGATGATTGGGCGAAGAAACCATCCGAGCATGAAATCCAACGACCTGGACGCGGCCGCGTGGCTCGACGACGAGTTCCTGTACTTGGGCTCGAACCACTGGCTGATGATGGTGATCCCGACCACTCCCTTCTGCCATTTTTGGTACGATTCTCTGTACAGCTTCACCGCCGCGGCGTGGCTCAGCAGCAAATGGTGCGCTGCCACGTATGGCTCCGTGGAGGAGTCCCCGCCGGCGCCGGTGCAGTTCCCCATCCACTCCGAGCACCGGCCGGGAGGCCAATCGCCGTAGTTGTAGGCGTACATGGAGTAGAGGTTGGGCTCGTTTAGCGTCACCCATTTCTTCACCCGGTCGCCGAATGTCTCGAAGCAGAAATCCGCGTAAGCAAGGTAATCATCCCTGTTACATGTTGGAGGCATAGAGTAGACTCTCTCACACCGTTGAAGTTTAATTATTCGTATACCAACTTGTAATTTACCTTTAACCTAATTGTCCTGTATGTAGATCGAACATGCTCCATATATAAGTGTGCCGAACCTTAGTCTCTCTAACTTAGCCTATTAGTATTATAGTGAAGTTATTGGAGAGTGTCGTCTCTCCCATGGACTAGTCCTGAATCTCAGGGATACCACGTTAAATCTCCGGTATTCTTTATCGCATTTATGTTTTAATTGACATGGTAGCAGAGCCTCTGCTCTCTTAGATTGGTGTTTGTTGTTGGCGTTTTTGGACATCTACAGCTTGGGTACTCTTTGCTTGTGTTTGCCAGCGGAAGAGTTTTGGTTTTTGCTGCAAGTTTGGGTTTCGCCAGCTTTGGGTGCGCAGGTTGTTTTTGGCCAGCATAAGAGGTTTATTTTTGGGCTGCGTTTGGTTCACGTGAGGGTTCTCTCATTCGTGTTATGGGGCAGCATGGATTTCTCAAAGATGGATTCTATTTCGGTTAAGTTTGACGACAAGAATTTTGCTAGGTGGGAGTTTCAATTCCGCAATTTCGCTGCTGGGAAGCGTCTTCTCTCTGTGCTGACCGGGGAAACGAAGCAACCCGGGGCTGATTGCTGCTGCGAGTGACATTGCTGATTGGCATGCGGGCAATGCACAGTTGATTACTTGGATTTTGGCCACAGTGGATTTGCCTACAGGCCTTAGTATTCGTCGTTGCAGTACGGCGAGCGAGATGTGGCGCCATATTTGTTCTACCTACGCTCAACACAGCACCTCTCGTCAGTTCGAGCTCGAAACAGCGATTGCTCGTCTTGCTCAGGGAGATCGTGACATTAGAGGCTACTATCAGGCGAGTCTACACCTATGGACTGAATACGATCTTTTAACGGTTTCTCTTGTTCCTGACGCGGCGTTTGCGGCAGTGGTGGCTGAGCGGTCTAGGACTCGTGTTCTTCAGTTTTTAGCTAAGCTCCGTTCGGAGTATGAACCGATTCGAGTATCCTTGATTCATCGGAACATCACTCAGATCGAAGATGTTGTCGCTGAGCTTATGAGGGAGGAGACTCGTCTGAAGAGTCAGTCGCAGATTGATCATACTGGCTCATCCTCTGAGGCTGCCTTTGCAGTGGGTCGTCCGGCTGCAGCTTCTCGTCCTCAGTTCAGCTCCCCCAACACTACTGAGCTTATTTGTCAATTCTGTAGGGAACCTGGTCACATTCGGATTCATTGCAGGAAGCAAAATATCTGCAATTACTGTAAGCGTGCCGGCCATATAGTGCCTGAGTGTCCGACGTTGAGTCGTCGTGGTAAACTGCGGCCTGCTTCCTCGTCCGGGTCATCGACTACAGCTCGGGCTGCTTATCCTGTAACTTGCGAGGCTCCCATGGGCAGTTCATCGGCGAGTGGTGGTTCGAGTGTCTCTCTCACGCCTGATCAGATTCGTTGTCTTGTCCAGGATGCTCTTCAGGAGGTACTTTTTTCTGCTTTTGCCACTACTGTTCAGCAGGGTAAGTCTCCTAGATGGCTCTTAGACTCTGCTGCGTTCAATCACATGACTCGCGATCATACTATTTTTGAGAATATGTGTCCGGTTGATTCTATGAGTCTTCAAGTGGCAAATGGGGCTACTATTCCCGTCCAGGGCTCGGGTACAGTTCATACAGGCCCGATCACTCTTCCCAATACTCTATATGTGCCTCAGCTTCGTCCGAATTTAGTCTCTGTGGGTCAACTGACGGATGATGGGTGTGATGTCATATTTGATTCGACTGGTTGTGTTGTGCAGGATCGGATAACGGGGAGGGTGATCGGGCGAGAAAGTAAGGAGGGTCGTGCCTTTGTTCTTGATGATTATTGTGGGCGTGCGGAGAACGAGACGTACAAGGCCAACATGCACCATGCATGGGCAGTTCTACGTAGCCACTTGCAGAGGAATCATCATGATGGGGCGCTAGGTGGACAAACGAGTGGGGTGGGTTATTTTGGGAATTCTCAGAATAAGGGTAGTGTTGATGCTTCTACTTGCAGTTCGGATGTTTCAATTGGTAATTCGTTGCGGGATTTGTGGCACCGTAGACTGGGTCATCCCCATTCGGGGAGACTAAAGAGTATGTTCAGACAAAATTTGTTGCCTGATCGGTTGAATTTATCAAAGTTGCCTGAAGTTTGTGATTGTGTGAGTTGTATAGAGGCCAAAGCTTCACAACGTTCTTTTCCGGATAGTGATATTGTTTATGATGAAGCTTTTGATCTGATTCATACTGACCTCTGGGGGCCTTCACCAGTCACCTCTTGTATGGGGTTTAGGTACTTCGCTTTGTTTATTGACCATGAGACGCAATACACGTGGGTCTATTTTCTGAAACAGAAGTCAGAGTTGGTTGCTGTAGCTCGGGAATACAATCAAAATCTTAGGGGCGATCCTAGAGGTGAGTTTATGTCTCACGAGCTGTTGTCCTTCTTTAAGTTGGAGGGTATTCTTCAGCAACAATCTTGTCCCGGTGTTTCTCAGCAACAATACTCGTGCCATTCTTTTTCACTCTCTTGTTCCGGTGGGATTTTGGGTGGAGGCGGTTCATACAGTGGTTTACTTAATTAATCGGCAGATTACACCTCTCTTGGGACAAAAATCACCTTTTCAGTCTCTATACTCACGGCTTCCTGATTATTCGGCCCTTCGTGTGTTTGGCTGTACTTGCTTCATGCTGTTACCACGAAGAGAACGACATAAGCTGGCACCCAAGGTTACGAGGTGCGTCTTTGTCGGGTATAGTGAGAAACACAAAGGATACCTTTGCTATGACCCAGCTGACCGACGCATGAGGATAGCATGTCATGTCAAATTCATGGAAAAAGATATGTACTACTCCTCGTCTCATGTAGATGCGTGTTCAGCAGAAGCCTTGGAGTTCCTCATGCTGTTACCCACATTTGACTCTTCTCCATCGTCGCCACCTGCTACCTCGGGAGCTTCTAGTTCGTCGAGTGCCAGTGATCAAACAGAACCGTCCTCGCCCAACAGCCCTCCGTCGAGCTTCATGGACTCGTCTTCGAGTTCATCTTCTCCCGGTCCTGATCGTTCGTCCGGCTCCACGTCTTCCAGCTCTAGATCTAATTTAAGTGCTTCCCCATCGCCTGTCCAGCCCGTTGTGCCTTTGCGTTGGTCAAATCGTGCTAACTTGGGCCAACCTCATCTCCGCATGAGTGATTTTATAAGCTAGTCCACTGCTCCCATCATCATTCCCACACGTTATGCGCAAGCAGCTCTGGAACCCCGGTGAAATGCAGCCATGCGTGTGGAAATGGACGCGCTAGAAGAAAATCAGATGTGGGATCTTGTTCCACGGGAAGAGGGAATGCAAGTCATTGGTAGTCGGTGGGTGTATAACGTGAAGATGCATCCTGATGGCTCGATTGAGCGCTTTAAGGCTCGGGTGGTTGTTCAAGGTTTCAAACAGGAGTACGGGATTGACTATGATGAGACATTCGCTCCGGTCGTGAAAATGCAAACGGTTCGTTGTGTCTTTGCAGTTGCAGCCATGAAGGGATGGCCTCTTCTTCAGCTCGATGTGAAGAATGCATTTCTGCACGGTGATCTGAAGGAGACTATTTACATGGAGCGTCCTCCTGGGTATGAGAAGGGTGATTCTACGATGGTGTGCAAGTTGATTTGATCCTTGTATGGTTAGAAGCAGGCTCCACGGGAGTAGTTTGAAAAATTTCATGGGACTATTCTTCAGGCGGGATTCACACAGAGTCAGAATGATCCATCGTTGTTCACGCGAGGTACGGTAGATGGAATCGTGGTTTTATTGATTTATGTCGATGACATGATTATTACTGGTAGTGATCAGGATGGGATTCGGGAAGTTATTGAGGTGCTGCGGAATGCGTTCAATCTTAAGGAGATGGGGGAGGTATCATATATCCTGGGTTTGGAGGTGAAACGGTCTTCTCAAGGTCTTTTTATCTCTCAACGGAAGTATATTAATGATCTCTTGGAATCGTCTCAGTATATAGATTGTGTTCCGTGTTCCACTCCCGTGGAACATAACCTTAAACTGAGTCGAGAGGAGGGAGAAAGATTGGAGGATCAATCCGTTTACAGGAGTATTGTTGGAAGCTTAATTTATTTGACTCATACTCGACCAGATATTTCATATGTTGTTTAGGTGATGAGTCAATTTGTAGGAGTTGCTACGAATCTTCACTTGGCAGCTGTGCAGAGACTTCTTCGGTATCTGAAGCAGACGCAGGATATTGGGTTATTCTTTCCAGCGACTGGTGAGCCTACCTTAGAAGCTTTTGCTGATGCAGATTATGCAGGCTGCATTGATACGAGGAAGTCCACGTCGGGATGGTGTGTTCGAGTAGGGAAATCCTTCGTCTCCTGGCGTTGTCGAAAACAAGACCGAGTTTCGAAGTCATCCACAGAAGCCGAGTACCGGTCTATGTCTGAGGTAAGCTCGGAGTTGGTTTGGCTATATCGCCCACTTGGAGAATTGGGCGTTGAGTGTCAAGTCCCAATGCGTATATATGAAGATAATACAAGTGCTATTCAGATTGCTGTTAACCCTGTTATGCACGATCGAATGAAACACATTGAGGTTCATGTTCACTACATCAGGCAACTAGTGGCAGAAGGGATGATACAAGTTGGGTACTTATCGACAGAGGATCAAACAGCAGATCTACTGACAAAAGCTGTGGCGTCTAGCAGGCATTGGTACTTATCTTCCAAATTGATGTTGCGTACCGCACATCAATTTGAGGGAGGGTGTTGAAGTTTAATTATTCGTGTACCTTGTAATTTACCTTTAACCTAATTGCCCTGTATGTAAATCGAACATGCTCCATATATAAGGGTGTCGAACCGTAGTCTCTGTAACTTAGCCTATTCGTATTATAGTGAAGCTATTGGAGAGTGTCGTCTCTCCCGTGGACTAGTCCTGAATCTCAGGGATACCACGTTAAATCT